CTACACTCCGCCGAAACCACCCTACCCTACTCAAAATCACTAATGACCTGCTAACCGCCAAAGCTAATGGCCACTACTCAGTCCTCTTACTCCTCGACCTTTCCGCGGCCTTCGACACAGTCGACCACCCCCTCCTCCTTAACAAACTACACTCCCTCGGCATCAGAGAGTCCGCTCTCTCCTGGCTCTCCTTCTATCTATCCCAACGCTCCTTCAGTGTTACCTATAACGCTACCACCTCCCTCTCTCTCCCCCTCTCTGTTGGGGTCCCCCAAGGCTCTGTCCGGGCCCCTTCTCTTTTCCATCTACACCTCCTCCCCATGCAAAATGATACACTCCCACGGCTTCAACTATCACCTCTACGCCGATGACACGCAAATTTACTCTCTCTACCCCTCGCCTCACCCCTTCAGTCTCCGCCCGTATCACCCACCTACTGAACGACATATCAGACTGGATGTCGCTCCATTTCCTCAAATTGAACCTTTCCAAAACCGAGCTCCTGATTTTTCCCCCCAGCCCGTGCCTCCCCCCCTCCACCCTCTCCATCACGACCAACAACGCCACCATCAGTCCCACCCCACAAGCCAAAGTCCTAGGTGTCACTCTAGACTCAAACCTGTCCTTCCAACCCCATGTCCAATCGTTGGCAAACTCATGCAGGCTCCATCTTCGCAACATCTCCAAAATACGTTCGTTCCTAACCCCAGACACTACTAAACAACTCATTCACTCCCTTATTATCTCACATCTGGACTACTGCAACTCCCTCCTCACTGGCCTACCTCATCACAGACTATCCCCGCTTCAGTCTATCCTGAACTCAGCAGCCAGACTCATCCACCTTACCAACCGCTCCGCTTCTGCCACCCCCCTCTGTCATTCCCTCCACTGGCTCCCGATTGCCCCAACGCATTAAATTCAAACTACTAACACAGACATACAAAGCCATTGATAACGCTGCCCCAAACTACCTCAGACCTGATACCCAAATACCACCCAACCCGTAATCTTCGCTCCTCACAAGACCTCCTACTTTCTAGCTCCCTGGTCTCCACCTCCCACGCCCGACTGCAGGACTTCTCCAGGACTTTGCCCATCCTCTGGAACTCACTACCCCAATCCATCAGACTGTCACCTACCCTCCTCACCTTTAGGCGCACCCTGAAAACCCATCTCTTCAGGGAAGCCTACCCCGCCATCACCTAACAGCCTATCTCCTCCTACCATTCCATCCCCCACAGCCACTTCCTCCTGTACCACTATCCCCTCCCTCTTAGATTGTAAGCTCAAAAGAGCAGGGCCCTTGAATCCCTCGTGTTTCGTTTTGATTTGTTACTGTATTGTCTCATATTCTGTCCGCCACTATAATGTACAGCGCTGAGCAAACCTTTTAGCGCTATATAAATACTGCATAATAATAATAATAATATAATAATGAATACTCTTAGGGTGTATGATATCATTTGGCCTAGGCCAGACACTAGGAAGCAACTGAAGAAACATAAAAAAAAAAAGTTTAAAATAAGTAAATATAACATACCTTACTGTCTATTTACTAGTGCTAGCAGGGGAAGGATTGAAGACATTTAATGATAATTGAGAGAGTTTAGTTAGCACCAAAGCACTATATTCTCAATCCCTCTATTGTCATAGCTGCTAATCAAGTTAGGCCTTCCCCTGTATTCATCTTTTGTCTTTCATGCACAACTAGTAGAGTGATCAGGTCCTGCACCTGCAGGATGAAGTAGTAGTCAGGCAGCACCTTTAAGAGGCAGGGCACATCTGCCTTTTTTTTCTTCACTATACAGCCAAAGTGAGCGGAAAACGTTGTGGAGGGCCTAACTAGCCGAGCAGCACTTTTTCCCCAAAAGCTGCAAATGCTCCCTCTATTTCTACTTCATCTACAGCTAATCCAACTGGGACCATGAAAACTGCCATGGAGGAGGCGCTGAATGATTTCAGCACTACATCAACAACTTGACACAGGTAGCACAAACAATTCTGTTATTGGATTTTTAGGACCAGAGCTCCAGGAGCATAGAGGTAGGAAAAAACAGGCAGAAAAAAGCTAATGCCTTTGATATTGTACTCAGTTAGCAGCAGGACCACATGCATCTGGTCCAACAAGCATGGGCCATCTCCTCCTATGGCATACTAACTAGATTTACTGGTGGCTGAAAAGGATGCAGAATGGGGCACACTGCTGGAGTTTGTGGAGGCTTCCCCATGTTCTGCACTTGGTAATGATGACAGTGCAGTCAACTCTGGCCTCATCTGGCAATTCCTCAGAACTAGCAGTGCTCCCTAAGCACCCCAGAGCCTATGCAGAAACCCAGGCAAAACACTGCAGTGTTTGGGGTTTGTGCCGATTTTCAGCCTATTCATCTGAACTGCCAACAAATTGAACTAGGACGTGTTAGAGCAACACTAACCTCCCTTTGGACACCAATCTCAGCATCCAGCAAGCTATTCTATGGCAATTGTGGTGACCTGTCACCTGCAGGATCTGATCTGTACACACCACACTGCTCCCACTAAATGACAGATTTCCAGCTGTGGTAATTTAAATTTACTGTCTGGAGTCCTAGTTGATGTTATTGACCAAATTTGGTTCCTGGCGGTAAATTTAAATAACCACAGCCGGGAATCTGTAATTTAGCTGCAGTAGTGTGGCATGTACAGCCCACCCAAATTCCAGCACCATTGACTTCAGTTGTGTTTGAGGTTAGTGCTTATATTCAGCCTATGCGGCTGAACTGCCAGTCAATCAAACACAGGTGTATTCACTACTAGGGAGACTATACAAAAGATTGTGTTCCTTATAGAGGGACACCAAATATTGACTTAAATGAGATGTACAGTATACATATGCAATCAGCTATTTATGGTTTTCCATTGTAATTTCATTGAGCCTCTTCAAAGAGCTCTGTTTTCCCTTTGTGTTAGAGATTCTGAATATAGCCCTACAGAACAGACAGTGCACAGTCCACGTGTTTATGCGCTGCTTCTCTGCTAACAGGAAACAGGAACTTTATTTGAGAAGAAGATATAGAGTATAGTCATAGATGCAGCTACAAACTTATAAACACTGCCATCTTTGAAGAATATATTTCTATTAATACTGATAGTTGTTGCACAAATAATACAGTGCCTTGAAAAAGTATTCATGCCCCTTGAAATTTTCCACATTTTGTCATGTTACAACCAAAAATGTAAATTAATTTTATTGGGATTTTATGTGATAGACCATCTGTCAGGGCTCCGGGGTGTGACCAGAGGTATGTGACTGATGCAGGGAAACACAGGCTTCAGATATGTTATAAACAATAAGACAATTTATTAAAGACTAACAATACAAACATAAACGCAGTGCAATACTAAACATAACACAGTGCAAACGAACCAAACCAACCACCCACAGATAACAGTACATACAATGCAAGTGTCGTCAGGCAGGCCGGGTCAATAACAATCGGGCAGGTAGGAACAGGGGGTCAGGCAGAGAATGGTCGGGGTCACAAGCCAGGGATGAAACAGGAGAAGTCAGCAGAGGTCCGGAATCAGGCAGGGTCAGCAACGAATCAGACAGAGACAGGAACGGGAATGCAGGAACAAGATACAGGGCCCAGGAAAAACACACACCAAGGCAGAGACTGCAGGTCTGGCCATACCTTAAATACACCTGCATGATCAGTTTCAGATGTTTGGCTGGCTGCAGGGTTGAGTCTCTGATTGCCGGGAGCACCCGCTGGCCAGCCCTGGTACTGCAGCCCACAAGGCAGGTGAGTCCCACCATTACTGGCAAATCCATTCCTGACAGTACCCCCCCCTCAAGGAGCGGCCTCAGGAAGCTCCAAACAGTCCTAGCTGGGCGAAATGTTCCACCGCCCGGGTCTGGTAACTGGCAGGATATCAAAGACTGGCACATCGGGCAGGACTCCGGGCAGCGGCACACGGGCAGAGGCACATCGAGCTGGACTCCGGGCAGCGGCACATCGGGCAGGACTCCGGGCAGTGGCACATCGGGCAGGACTCTGGGCAGCGGCACATCGGGCAGGACTCTGGGCAGCGGCACATCGGGGGCAGGACTCCGGGCAGCGGCACATCGGGCAGGACTCCGGGCAGCGGCACATCGGGCAGAGGCACATCGAGCTGGACTCCGGGCAGAGGCACATCGGGCAGGACTCCGGGCAGAGGCACATCGGGCAGGACTCCGGGCAGCGGCACATCGGGCAGGACTCCGGGCAGCGGCACATCGGGCAGGACTCCGGGCAGCGGCACATCGGGCAGGACTCCGGGCAGCGGCACATCGGGCAGGACTCCGGGCAGAGGCACATCGAGCTGGACTCCGGGCAGAGGCACATCGAGCTGGACACCGGATCACCAGGCGGAGCAGCGGGCACCGGGCCACCAGGCGGGGCGACAGGCATCGGGCCCCCAGGCGGAGCGGCGGGCGCCGGGCCCCCCAGGAGGGGCGACAGGCATCGGGCCCCCAGGCGGAGCGGCGGGCGCCGGGCCCCCAGGAGGGGCAACAGGCATCGGGCCCCCAGGCGGGGTGACAGGCATCGGGCCCCCAGGCGGAGCGGCGGGCACCGGGCCCCCAGGAGGGGCGACAGGCATCGGGCCCCCAGGCGGGGCGACAGGCATCGGGCCCCCAGGCGGGGCGACAGGCATCAGGCCCCCAGGCGGAGCGGCGGGCACCGGGCCCCCAGGAGGGGCGGCAGACATTGGGCCCCCAGACGGAGCGGCGGGCACCGGGTCATCAGGCACCACAACGGGCATCGGGTCACCAGGCATCAGGTCATTTGGCTCGCCAGTGGGCACCGCGTCATCTGGCAAGGCAGTGGGCACCGAGTCAACTGGCATGAACGCGGGCACTGGGTCAGACATTGCATCGTCTGGCCCGACAGCGGGCATCGGGTCACCAGGCATGACAGCGGGCTCCGAGTCAATTGGCACGACAGCGGGCATCGGGTCACCAGGCATGACAGCGGGCACTGGGTCATCAGGCATGGGATTGTCTGGCTCGACAGCGGGCATCGGTTCACCAGGTATGACAGCGGGCACTGGTTCACCAGGCATCATCTTATTCGGCTTGCCAGCGGGCACCGCGTCATCTGGCAAGGCATTGGGCACCGAGTCACCAGGCACGACAGTGGGCTCCGAGTCAACTGGCATGACCGCGGGCACCGAGTCGACTGGTGGAACTGCGGGCACCGAGTCAACTGGCGGAACAGCGGGCACCGAGTCGTCTGGCAAGACTGCGGGCACCGAGTCAACTGGCGGAACAGTGGGCACCGAGTCAACTGGCGGAACAGCGGGCACCGAGTCGTCTGGCAAGACTGTGGGCACCGAGTCATCTGGCAAGACTGCGGGCACCGAGTCAACTGGCGGAACAGCGGGCACCGAGTCAACTGGCGGAACAGCGGGCATCGAGTCAACTGTCGGAACAGCGGGCATCGAGTCGTCTGGCAAGACTGCGGGTACCGAGTCAACTGGCAGAACAGCGGGCATCGAGTCGTCTGGCAAGACTGCGGGCACTGAGTCAACTGGCGGAACAGCGGGCACCGAGTCGTCTGGCATAATAGGATCATCAGGCTGGATCAGTTCATCAGGCTGGGTAGAAACATCATGCTGGGTAGAGACATCAGGCTGAATGGAGGCATCAGGCTGGGTGGAGGCATCAGGCTGGGTGGAGGCATCAGGCTGAATGGAGGCATCAGGCTGAATGGAGGCATCAGGCTGAATTGTGGGCGCCGAGGCACCAGGCTGCACCATGGAAGGCAGGTTCTCAGATGGGAGGCTGACCGGTTTGGATACTGGCAGGATGGTATTGGTTGGAAAGAACTTTCGCCTTTTCCTGGTTTTAGTTACCGGAGCACTGTAAGTAAGCGCAGGTTTCTAAACGGATGGAGCAGCTGGAGACAGAAAAGAGCTGGAGGATGGAACAGGGGAGGGAACAGTTGCTACAGAGGGCTTCTTTACAGGGTTAAAGGCAGGATAGGTGCAGCGAGTGGGAACAGGGTACTGACATGCGGTAGATAACAGGGTATACTGGGCTGTAACTGGAGGTGCTGTTGGGAAAGCAGGAATAGAGCTTTGAAGAAATAGATTTGAAGCAGGACTGGGTTTTTGCAAGCTGACTGAGGCTGGGGGGTGCAACAAGTCTGACCATGTCTGCAGTATGGGTTGAACAAAGCTCAGCTTACACAAAGCCTGTCTGACCAAAGACTGCACTGCGCTTATACAATCCCTTAATACCTGTGGTGAACATGCAGCATAATGCTCCAAGAAGTAATCCACATCATCCTCTAATAACCATACCAGGGACTCTACCTGGTCTGCACTAAATGGCGGCAAAAATTCATCCCTGCATTCGGGGGGTACCAGATGAAACCAACTCAGCACAAACCTGAATCAATGGCTGCACCTCAGAGAATTCTGTGCCCTGATCTACTAGAACATGAGCGATCCGTATACATTCTAGCAGTTCATCCCTGGGATACTCCTTCAGAGTCTGATAAGCATACTCTCTGTCATCAAACACTAGCAGAGATAAATACACAACCTCATCAAGATCCATCCTTCCCAGCAACAAGCCAAGATGGCTTCCCTGTGCAGCCACTTCTGGTCAGGATTGGCCTTGGTGTAATGTCAGGGCTCCGGGGTGTGACCAGAGGTATGTGACTGACGCAGGGAAACGCAGGCTTCAGATATGTTATAAACAATAAGACAATTTATTAAAGACTAACAATACAAACATAAACGCAGTGCAATACTAAACATAACACAGTGCAAACGAACCAAACCAACCACCCACAGATAACAGTACATACAATGCAAGCGTCGTCAGGCAGGCCGGGTCAATAACAATCGGGCAGGTAGGAACAGGGGATCAGGCAGAGAATGGTCGGGGTCCCAAGCCAGGGATGAAACAGGAGAAGTCAGCAGAGGTCCGGAATCAGGCAGGGTCAGCAACGAATCAGACAGAGACAGGAACAGGAACAGGAATGCAGGAACAAGATACAGGGCCCAGGAAAAACACACACCCAAGGCAGAGACTGCAGGTCTGGCCATACCTTAAATACACCTGCATGATCAGTTTCAGATGTTTGGCTGGCTGCAGGGTTGAGTCTCTGATTGCCGGGAGCACCCGCTGGCCAGCCCTGGTACTGCAGCCCACAAGGCAGGTGAGTCCCACCATTACTGGCAAGTCCATTCCTGACACCATCACAAAGTGGCACATAATTGTGAAGTGGAAGGAAAAATGATAAATGGTTTTTAAGATTTTTTACAAATAAATATGTGAAAAGTGTGGCGTGCATTTGTATTCAGCCCACTTTACTCTGATACCCCTAACTAAAATCTAGTTAAAACCTATTGGCTTCAGAAGTCATCTAATTAGTAAATCTGTGTGTAATTTAATCTCAGTATAAATACAGCTGTTCTGTGAAGCTCTCAGAGGTTTGCTAGAAGAATATTAGTGAACAAACAGCATCATGAGGGCCAAGGAACACTTCAGATAGGTCAGGGATAAAGTTGTGGAGAAGTTTAAAGCAGGGTTAGGTTATAACAAAATATCCCAAGCTTCAAACATCTCACAGAGCACTGTTCAATCCATTATCAAAAAATGGAGTTTGGAACAACTGCAAACCTACCAAGACATGGCCGTCCACCTAAACTGACAGGCCGAGAAAGGAGAGCATTGATCAGAGAAGCAGCCAAGAGGCCCATGGCAACTCTGGAGGAGCTTCAAAGATGCACAGCTCAGGTGGGAGAATCTGTCCACAGGACAACTATTAGTTGTACACTCCACAAATGTGGCCTTTATGGAAGAGTGGCAAGAAGAAAGTCATTGTTAAATGAAAGTCATAAGAAGTCCCGTTTGCAGTTTGCAAGAAGCCATGTGGGGGACACAGCAAACGTGTGGAAGAAGGTGCTCTGGTCAGATGAGACCAAAATTTAACTTTTTGGCCTAAAAGCAAAGCGCTATGTGTGGCAGAGAACTAACACTACCAGGGGCGGACTGACCATTTGAAAACTCGGGCACTGCCTGATGGCCTGGGGTCAGTAGGGGGCCCATGAAATGCCTCTGGTACTTTTTTCATAGGCTTTTTCGAGTTTGGGCAAGGAAACAGGGGCCCCATGATCCCCTATTGCCTGGGGGCCCATGAGTTGTCAGTCCGCCCCTGAACACTACATATCACTCTGAACACACCATCCCCACAGTGAAACATGGCGGTGGCAGCATCATGTTGTGGGGATGCTTTTCTTCAGCAGGGACAAGGAAGCAGGCCAGAGTTGATGGAAAGATGGATTGAGCCAAATACAGAGTAATCTTAGAAAAAAACCTGTTAGAGTCTTGGGAAAGACTTGGGACTGGGGCGGAGGTTCACATTCCAGCAGGACAAGGACCCTACACATAAAGCCAGAGCTACAATGGAATGGTTTAGATCAAAGCATATTCATGTGTTAGAACGGCCCAGTCAAAGTCCAGACCTAAATTCAATTGAGAATCTGTGGCAAAACTTGAAAATTAGTGTTCACAGACACTCTCCGTCCAATCTGACAGAGTTGTTGCAAAGAAGAATGGACAAAAATGTCACTTTCTAGATGTGCAAAGCTGTTAGAGACATACCCAAAAAGATTTGTAGCTGTAATTTCAGCAAAAGGTGGTTCTACAAAGTATTGACTCAGGGGGGCTGAATACACACTTTTCACATATTTATTTGTAAAAAAATGTGAAATCTATTTATCATTTTCCTTCCACTTCACAATTATGTGCCACTTACGTGTGTTGGTCTATCACATAAAATCCCAACAAAAAATATTTACGTTTTTGGTTGTAACATGACAAAATGTGGAAAATTTCAACGGGTATGAATACTTTTTCAAGGCACTGTACATGAACTCTGTATTCCAACACCCCCACTCAACCACTACTCCTATTAGTCCCATGTCAGACCTCAGTTCTTTAAATCTGTTTCTAGTATGCGGTTTTGTCAAAACATCTGATTGTCTTTTGTTTCTGAACTTTATACAAGTGGTTACAACAGTCTCTTTTGGAGAGCTAGCCAGCGTCTCCTGTAATACCACCTCAGACCCCAGATGCTCCTCTATCTGGTTGCTTATAGGAATTCCTGAACAGGGGATCCAGTGCCTGTCACTTTAAGAAATAAAACAGTCCTGGGTAGTGGCTAATCTGGTTTACAACCAGAGTGCTCCTTCCCCTACCTGGCCCAGGGGGTGCAGGTCTACTCACTCAGTCCTTCACCTGTTTTCTTGGTGGGTCGGTGACTGCTACCAGACCTTTTAGCTGGGCCGCTCATTCCCTGCCTCACAAGTGGTGCTCTCTCAGGGGGTCTAGTGAAGTCCTGAACTTTCCTCCTTCCAAGATCCTCTGCCTGTAGGTGAGCCGCTCTCCATCTGGGTCCCCTCACAGGCTCCTGCCTCAAGCCTCACATCCTCTCTATCTTCCACCCAGCCTCCTCTCCCACCTCTTCTCCAACTCTCCTGCAGCTGAGCAGGCTGAGTTACTCTTAAAGGCTGTCCTGGTTCCATTCAAAGTTTCCTGTTGGGGATTTTTCAGGGTCCTCTAACAGTACAGAACAGCTACTCCTCAAGTCCGCCCATTGCTTCTAGACCTTTCTCCAAAGTTTGAGAACAGGGGGAAATTCCAGAGGGCTATTCTGCAGAGCCTCTCAGCTCTGACCCAAATTTTACCCTGCTAGCTATTACACCCAGGCTGCTACTCAGCCCTCCTAATTAACAATGGAACTAGTGCTCCCTCTAGCTAATTAGCAGGGTGTTACACTTGCCTTCATGTGACACTGATGTGAAATTACCCTCAGTTTAAAGTGTTTGTGTTAGTTCATGAAATTTTTAACCCACTGAAGTGTCATCAACAATTACACTTCTACTGATGGTTACCTTGTTTGTGTACTGGTGTAGAATTCTGTATCCCTATTGACATTCACTGTACCCTACAAGTACACCCTCCTTTGTGCAAGCATCCCATTTTGTAAGTTTTTCTTTTGGGATGGGCAAATAGGCTTTGCTTCCAAAATGTTTTGCATTGTTCAAATTTGGGTCTTTTCCATTCCACAGTTCATATGGAGTTTTCTCAGTTGATTTTCATGGTAGTTGATTTTGGAAATAGCATGCCATCATAATTGCTCTCCCCCCCAGTATGTGGTTAGTATATCTGCATCAAACAGCATGGTTTTTCCACTCTCACAAAGAGTACGGTTCATTCTTTCTGCAACCCCCAGGCTGCTACTCAGCCCTCTTAGCTAACAATTCAACTAGTTACCTGGGAGGGTGCTACATTCACCCCCCGCTAAAAAAAAAACAGCCATGTCCTCATTGGCTGGGGGACTACAATACAAAAATGACCCCTGAGCACAGGAGTGGGGTATCCCATACAAAAAAAAGGAGAAGGGGAAAAGAGAACAAAACTGGGAAGGGGAGATAAACAAATTTACAAAATAAATATTCGTACAAAAATACAGAAATTTGCATAATGTACAAATTTACAGAATGTAATTTTTACAACCTGACTAAGTCCATCTGACCAACAGCAGGGAAAACAGGCATTATACATCACAAATGTACAAATTTGAAAGAATAGTTATGAAGTACCTCCCCCTAGAGGGAAATCCTCCATAAGAGCAGTGATTCCTCTTGTTCTTGAAGCAGGGAGATAGCCATCATTGAAACCTACAGAACAGTAAATGAGAACATAGAACACATAATGCAATCCTACCACTA